TATAATACTAATTGTAAATCAAATAATACACGAATCACATTTTTTTATTATTCAAACACTTTATTGCGCCAATTATAATTATTATTAGCCAAATAAGATTTTAGATATTGAACATGTAGCCCATGAATTTAAATAAAGTAGGGATCTCGCTGATTCCTCGCATAATCTATTACTATGTTTTGTTATAATTAATCCTGCTGTAGAGAATAACCTTTCCGATAGAACAGACGTTGCGCAAATACTTAAGCGTTATCTACAATACACGGAGTAAGAAGAGTAAAAAATTAACCAATTACAATCAAATCTGAGAAAAATAATCGATTGTAATTGGTCAATTTCTTACTCTTACTTCTTATACTTCATGTATTGTAGACAACGTATTATTTAAATTGTCTAGAATTTCGAGACAAGACAAGATTTTTGAGTTCGAGATCAAGACAAGAATGTACATTTCAAGATTTTTTCAAGACAAGACGATATTTTCTAAAATCTCGTCTTGTCTCGTCTTGCAGCATCCCTAGAAATAGTGTGGTACGTTTTGATTATGTTAAATCTTCATTATTCAAGAATAAATAGTTAAAACGTCGTGAAAGAAAAATATAATTTATTGGTTATTCAATTGAACAGGACATATAAAGAATGAAAGTAAATCTTATATTATATTGAGCCGTTTATTTTGAAAATGGCCTAAGTTCATTCAATTTTTTGTTGTTGACTGTAGTAGCGTGTACAACTTGAAGTTAGCTGTCATAAATTTTTTTTTTTTTAAATTGACTTAGGTCACTTTTAAAATAAACGGTTATTGTACTTAATAATTCAAATAGAATTCCAAGATAAAACAGATTAGTCGATGTATTTACGTTTATAAATACGAAAACTTGTTTTAATGTTGTGAAAAATTTTAGACAGCTGATAAGTAAATTTTACTCTCGTATCTCTTATTTATCTTTCTTGTATATGTCTATTGTGAATGTTGCAATCATTATCTAATGTTATTAAATTATGCTATAGTCAACTGTCAACTGATTTTTTTATATATAATCAAGTACAACGTTTTTACTCCTCAAGATTATCGTTTACTTATAACGTTTTGGTCAAAAGACCATTCTATTTCTGATGCTTTGTCGTAACTATCCTACTTGATTACTACGGGAAGATTAACAGTCCGACGGCTAATTATATAAGCGATCGTCTTTTAAGCAACTTTGATGTATGTCGCTCGTCGCGGTTTGAAGCTGCTCTGTTCAAGAAGTATACCCTCCAAGACGTTGTGGCAGTCACTAGAGTGTCCCTGAGGGGTGCTTAATGCTGCTGTAATCGGCCGTTTCTACCTTACGCCTGCAAAACTGCCCTACCGCACGTTATCGGCCATTATTCCCCACGGGGTTCCTTGGAATCGTCGCTTGACAGCATTCAGCCGCACACGACGCACTTTCTTTCCGCCACATTTCACCCTCGCTACCGTTACCGCTTTGTAGCTTCCCGAGATATACGGGAGTCTTACATTATGCACCATAGGGTGGGCGTCGACACGAGTATGGCGACATGAGTTGTTTATGACTGTGCGTATGAGAGATTTTCTTTCCCTTAGTGTGATATTTTAGATCGTTTCTTTCCTGAAGTGGATTTTGAAGTTATTTCGAAGCTAACTTCGTTACATCAGTAACACAAATATTTAAGCACGAGTAACGTGTTATTCAAATCTTTAAATGTTATTCAAATCATGAAAAATAATTTTTCAAAGTCATTTTTAATTTCTTTTCTGATATGCGAATAACTAAATTAATTATTGCAAGCAATTTTTCTTAGAATTGTCGTAATATTTTATTAGTACTTATTAAATGTAATGTAAATATATTAATTTTTGGCTGTATAAAAATTTTAAAAGTAAAATATTTTATTTTCAACGCAAATTATAACTAGAATTTTCTTCGATCAAAAGGTATTTCTTGAAAACAGTTTAGTAAAATTAAATGAATGAGCAAGAATTTTCTTACGATATCTGCGATTTTCGTATTTAGTTTATCTAATGGCTTGTGTAGTTCTTACGTTTGTAGCGATTGTTCTTATGTAGAAAAGTATTTCTTGACTTAAGAGAATAGTGACTGTATTATGTACAAAGGGCGTTACAAATAAGAAGGTAGTAGATGGTCGATAAGTGCAGGTTGAAAGGGCACATTCAGAGAATGGTCTTTTAAAAGAACTCTTTCTTCTTCTAAAACCTTAACAGCGCGATAAAGATAAGAGTTAAGAACAAGACGAACATATCCATCCCAAATCTCGGGTCTAGATTTACGTTTCGTTCAGCTATAATTTCGTTATTTGTAAAATTAAATATATTTAATTATAAGTGAAAATTAGACCGATAAAAATAAATCAAATAAGTAAAAGAATCCTATTTTTGGTCAAAGCGGATCTTGGTGCTTAATAATATTCATATAACTTTCCGGGTTTAAATTCTGGCTGAAGTGAACTTTTTTATAATCAATTCTTTGCAGTGTTTTAAGGTGCTTATTAGCATCATTATTTAATTGACGATCAATATAATTTGTAATGTTATTTTTCTAATTTCAGTTTAGGATTGCGTTTCAAGTCTGACAAATCGAATCAGAGTGCAGTTTATAAAACCGAAAAATGTATTTCCAAAGTATATGAATATTATTAAACAGCATGATCTTCTTAGTTTAAAAATAGGATTCTTTCTTTTATTACCTAAATTATTTGTCTTTCTTTTCAAGATAATTTTTTTCATTATTATAGTAAATGATTACTCATCGTTGAAGATAAATTTATTTTATTTGTACGAATAAAAATAAATAATTGAAGAAATTGTAAAAAAGAATCCTTAATTTACATAAAGTTTCATTATTCTGTTAAATACTGATTTATTTTTCTTACAGATTTTGCTATATTGTATGTACGGAACGTCAATATATTTATTTGTTATATCGTGTTTACTTTTTCGTTAGTATTTAATTATAGTTATTGCAATATTGATTTCGTAACTATGTCTGGTATGAGTAATCAGTTTAGATAAATGTTAACATCAATAAATCTTGTTTTCATTTTCTACCGACCGCATTTGTTGTAGCGTTTCCTGCTTCGGGGTAATTGAATTTCAAAATATCACGATGGAATATCTGCTAAATTATGTAGGGGAGGTTGTCGAATATTGACTTTTATGGTGGCATGAATTATATCGTTGTTTATGTCAACGGAAAAGTTAACTAGAAAAAATTGAGAGAAGCAAATTAAAACTAAGAGAAGAAAGATATTTAGTACATATGGAAAAAACGCGGTTTTCCTGAAGTATCTAAAAATTTAGCTATAGACATAGATATGCAAATGATTTTGTTTAAACTATCAAAATAATTTTGTAAAATATTTGAACTGGTTGCTAGAATGTTAAAACATTTGGCAGCTTTGTCATTAACGTTGAAGCGTTCTACATAATTATTTTAATCAAACAAAATTATTTTCTGATCTGTATCTAACTAAATTTTTAGATACTTGAGAGAAATCGTGTACAAAAATTTTATTTTAGAATTGTTCTTATTATGGAATTCATAGTGGTGAGATATGTAGTAAATTTTAATGAAACAAATTGTGATGCTCGTTGAATATATCATGTAATGGATCGATGGTCGTTCACTCGGTTCCACCCTTTCGGACGCCGATAAGAGGGTTGTTGGGAAACCTCGCATCCCTGGTCGGTATAAACGCGGATAACATAGGAAACTTCATATATTTTACTGGAAAAGCGGAAAATTGGGATAACGTATCTAGAGTTGATAATGCATTACGCAAACGTGGGTAACATTAGTTTGTATCATACGCAAGTAATTCGCAGATTTATATGTCCATTTTTGCCAATATAAATTAATTTCAATCTTGATATTTAAAATACTTTTTCCAGTTCTTGTAACTAGAAAAAGATGAAGAAGTAAGTTAAATTGAGATTAAAGTTAATTTACATAGGCAAAAACGAATATAATTAACATCTTTTGACGATCGCAACATAGATATACTTTTTTATATCTCCTTGATTATAATAAAGTACTTTCAATTTATTATATTTTTTTGAAAAAGAAAAACTAACAAAGTATTAAAATAAATACTATCTTTCTTTATAAACTATATTTAATTTATTTTTTGTTAGAAATAGACGTTTACATTATTTGTGAGGGTGTTTTATATATTCATAGACAAGGCTGTATTATAAATTTTAATATCATAACTTTATACAAATAGAGGAAAGTCGCCGATACTGACATATAGATCTCCTAAAGTGACACCCTCTTATTTCTCAGAAACTAACTATTGTACTTTATTAATATTAATAAAATCATGATCTGTTTAGCTAATTAAAGAAGTACAAACTCATAATTCATATATGTGTGTTATATTTCTGTCTTATTTCTATACCAAATCAGCTAAAAAAACAATTCTATGAATTCGAGAAGAAATTCTTACGGTTCTTTTGCAAATGCGTAATTAAAATAATAGTGACTGTATTACTGATAATATTATGTCATTTTAAATGTTTATAGTTTCATAAATTAGTTTTCTTTATAGAATAGGATATATCTTTATTTATAAAATAAGAATGTTGATATTATTGCCTAATATGTCAGTTTTGGAGCCCATTTTGTCAGACGCTCATTTTTGCATAACTTACGAAACACTTAATTATTGCAAAATTGCAAACAGTATTATAAAAATTGCTTGTACTACCTGATAGAAGACACTTTTTACTTTGTATTTATGTTTTTGAAGTTGTATTTTTACCTTTTGTTTAAGAAATATTATCTAAAAACAAAGTGGTATGTCGGTGTCGGTGATTTTCCTCTAATGTTAAAGAATTTTATATGCTTCGTATTTTTGCCTTATGATTTCGCAAACTTTATCTTAGAAGAATTTAACTTGTTTTACGTATGTAGGTACAAGAAAAAGCGTTGTAGCGTAAATTATATATAAGATCATTCTTTTTCTTTTTGCAGCGAAAAAGCAAAATGGTGCCGCTCTACGAACAAACAGTTTGGGTTCGGGTGCGAGAACGCCGCCCTTGGAAAGAAAAAGTAAATTTTCTGCCCTCGGTAGACTCTTCAAACCTTGGAAATGGAAGCGGAAAAAGAAATCGGATAAATTCGAGGCCGCTTCTCTGTGTAAGTAAATAATGCGATGTAAAAATAGTTCAATTTAAACGCGACATGTATTTTTATTTTAATAATAGAAAAAACTTAATGGATTTTGTGCTATATGTCATTTTTGTGATTGACGTTGCTTTGTCACGAAAAATCTTTGCATTTTAAAATGATGAATGTTATTAAATTTAATATACGTTCAATTAAAATGTTTGCATTTTGCACGAATAAATGATATTTAATTTCTACTTTTTAAATTATTATGCTCGAAGTCGTTTTAAACATTTGCCAACAATTTGCAACATTGTAATGCGAAAGTATTTAAATAGCGTTGCAGATAACAGAGCGAACAGCGTAATGACATCCGTGTACGTTTTCTTTGTCTTTGTTAATAGCGCTCGAGAGAAAAATCTCAGTACGTGCCAGCAGAGATGAATTGGTGCAGAAAGGGATATTGCTGCCCGTGATACGGTCAACATCGTTTCCGGAAAATGGTGAGTATGCATTTCTTTATTCTTTTAACTTTTTTTCTATTTTTATTCTATTTTACTGTGTTGGTATTGGTTTACGCTATTTTTTTGCTTGTTCTTTGATATCACGATTTTTTATTAATAATTATTTCATTGTTTGTTTGGTCGTTTTGCATTTTATGTAACAATTTTATCTTTCAAATCTACTATGAGTTCAATTATTGTCAGTTTTCAATTATTGTCTTTCTCGGTGCTCCTCGTTATATGTACATATATGCACGCCAGACAGATATTTCCGAATCCGTTTACCTGTCGCGCCGAAAGTGATGTCCACCCCTTCGGTAGATTGCACAGGAAACGAGAAACAGAGGTTGCTGGGGTGTCGACAACTTGCCACCCAATGACGAAGGTCGTAATTGCGTTTTACAGTTCATGTGGCAAACGCGAACTCAATTTCCTCAGTAACTGGGTACGGCCAAATACCTCGCGCCAAAATGACGCAATTCATTGTCCAAGCTGATTTATGTTCAATGTTTCTTGAAGTATCTCTTATCATTTGCCATATCTGCAAAACAGACAGCAACGTGTATCCTCTGATATTATCGCGATGTGATACCACTGTGATCCTTCTTACCGACGAACTGTACGAAGCTCTCAGTATGGTTTCACGTTTTGTTCGAACGTGGAGTTAGTTGTTCCGCTCATTCGATACAGATACTAATATAAACAATTCTTTTTTTTTAACTTATGACACAATTAACTTAAAGTTCCAAGAAATGTTCTCAATCGATATTGATACCAAATTAGCAATAAAATCATAAGTGTACTGAGAAAAAAATGTTCAGTATTTGTGACTATAATTTTGGTAAAATAGAATATACAGAGTTAGAATCAAAAACGATTATAAATTATAATAATCATTTTCGGTGTCAACTGTATATATTTTTAGTATTTATAATTATAAATATGTACATAATTGTAACACTGTTCAACAACCAAATTGTCTTCAAAGTGTCATATTGCGAAGATCTTTTTTACATTGGACGATGCAATTGGTAGAATTTGTGTAGTATGTCCGAATTTTGCAATGAATAACTTGATGTGAAATGAATAAGAAATAACGTTTTTGGTTATTTTTAAGATTTTTTTTACAACAAAATGAAAACTTGTTTTTAAATAAAGCCTACAACATTTAAAAGTATATAATTCAAGTTTTCAAATAAATTTTAGTTAATGATAATATGACTTATTTTTATCAAAGTATGGTTATTTGAATTTTAGACTTTCAATATAATTATGCAGTTAAACAAAAAATCATTTTTTCTCTTTAAAGTGCCACAGTATATACCCCAAAGATTTTTTTGCACTGAACGCAATACTGTCATCAGAATTTGTATAGCACGCCAGGATTTTTAGTGAATAGTAAATTTTTGGTACATTTTACTCCAAATCTCTTTAACTAATGCACATTGATAAGGTTATTATTATTAATTTATTAAAAATTTTGATGTGCTGCGCAAATTCTGACGATGAAATCGTGTTTAACATGAAAAAATTTTTGAGGGATATGGCACTTTGAAGAGGAAAAAAGTGACTCTTTGTCGAACAGTGTACGTGATTATTGTTACTAACATTATACCATTATGTCATAATAACTATAAAAATGAAACTTCTAACCATAATTATTTTACCATGCTATTATAGTCATGAATACCAAACCCTTTTATCTCAATATAGCTTATTACCTTCGCTGAAAAAACATAAACTTCATGTTTATCAAGAAATCTATAACCGAGAGAATACTTGCATTTCCAAGACATACGGAGGACAAATGCGTTGAAGCTAATTAACGGTGAGAGATAGTAGATTTCTAAATACCTATTTAGTTTCTCTTGTCGCAAGGACTTGTAATTATTATATAAGGAGGTGTTATTATTATAATAATTATCTTTTCTCAATACTTAAAGTAACAATAGTTAGCCTGTATCCCTCATCAAGAAAATTCTGGGACTTTCATGGTTTCCGAAACTATTTCGTGAATTCCGTCATCAGTCATATCCTCGTCCAAACAGTCAGAACTTTTCGAGACAAGTTTTGAGAGAGCGGCTCTTCTATATCCCACCTTTTGTAATTAAAGTATTCCGCTCACAGTTTCGTCAGATTATCTCAGGAAGTTGTGGAACTTGGCTGGGAGTAGTCGACGACAATGACATAGGGTTATTTATCAACGTACGTCATCCCGCCGGTTACTACGTGAGAGAGAGATATGTTTATTTAAATTAATCGCAAAATCGATGGAGATCCGAGAAATGCGGGGTGACATGAATAGCAGAAAATACGAAGAAATATCGCGTAGGAGATCATCGAAAGAAAAATACCGATAGCAATATCTGATATCATATAATATTAGATATTCATTAAAAAAGCTTAACGTCATTATCGAGTTTACGTCTAAATCGAATATCAATGTTTTAAAAAGCTGCTACCAGAAAAGATCTCTTTTTGCAACCATGTTTTGTATGCAGTATAAAAAAATATTTACTAGGATCGATATATTTTTGCGTTACGAAACTCATAGAAAATATACATTTTTAAAAATTGTTTTTATACGTACATTATATTTTTTTGTGATATTTTTAATATTTTTGTGATATTTTTAAATAGTTTTAAAACATTTAAAAAAATTTTATTTTAATGTAAATAATTTTTAAGATTTTCAAATATTTAAATAAATATTTTTAAATATTCATTAGGATATCTTTATATGTATATTTTTTTATATGCGAAATTAAATTATTTTTTGTTAAAATTTAGATCATTAAAGCGCTAATTTTAAGGTTTTAATGATAGATTACCGCATTTATTACTACATTTCTAAAATTTATTTACACGTTGCATTCATTTTCGCGGTGCATCGTCGAATTAACGTGATGCTACTGACGCCCATAATCGTTGCATTGCCGACTGCGCAGAGCCGTTGTTGCGCTCTGTGATTTTCTGTTCTGAGTTCTAATATGACTGAGAGAAACTCCAACTATAATGTACTGAAAATACTCGACTTTTGAAATTCCACCCAAGTCGATGTCCAGATCCTTCCTACGTAAAATTAAACTTAATTCATCTATATAAATTCGATCCATTTGTCCTTCATGATGATTATTACCGTCTCTCTTTTTTATAGTCTATTTTATAATTTTAATTAACGTTCAGTTGTGCAAAGTTTTTATTGAAGTGACATACATCATGTTTGTGTTGCATTATATTTAAATTTAAAAAAGGGCCTAATACCTGTATCAGACTTAAGATTAAAATTGAGATTGGATTGGAATTTGATTAATTAAAACAAGAGTGACTGAATCAACTAAATACAAAGAAGCGTTACTTTCGATCAAAGATAGATATTAGACTAATACATACATATATGTACACGGAGAGAATTTTTTCTTAGAATTTACCCTGAAAATATGACAGTCGTGGGACAACATTGTATTTCGAAGAATTTTAATATAAATCTCTCTCATTCATTAATA